CTGTCGAGAAGAAAAAGTCGAGAGAGGAAATGAAGTTATAATTCCAAATTCGAAATGGGAGCGGAATAGATAAGACCCTTTTAAAGAGTCAGAGCAACGCGTCTCTTCTGGTGGCTACAGACCATGCCCAACACTACCTCTGCTGGAAAATCCCTTCTAATTTTTAATTTCTCTTTATTTTATTCTATTTATTACTTCAATTTAATCTCAATTACCTAAAACCAAATCAATAAATCTTACTCCTCACAACTCAACTTGGAAAAGGATTAATTAAAAATAATTGAAATATATTAATTGATTATTGAAGTAGGCGTCAGAGCTGACAAGACCCCGAGGCACCAACCTAAGCCACTCACTCACGGCAACATAATTCTCAATCCTTTTATTTCACATGCTAAATATTATATTATATGGTTCTTATTTAATATTTTATACAAGATTTTAAGAAACATTTGTGCTTAATTAGAAGTAATTGATTTTTTATTTTGGAAAAGTGGAATGATTAATTAGTTCATTACTTTACACGAGACGAACACACTCGGTCGATCATCAACTTGGTTTCCGCCATGCACCTTCATTCATCCACACATTCTTTCGGTAACCACTACACTCATCGATCATCATTTCTACCTTTTTCACAATAATAATATATACTAATACCCAATTACTTACTTTAGATGCACATCCATATTACATTAATTGCATTATCAATCAGTTTTTTATTTTCCGGATCATCAACGTTTTCAAATAAATACTATGCAAGTAAATTAATGTTTTCATTCTTGTTTATGTTTTACAAATTGAATAGTCCTTCTAAAATATAAGTGATTATTCGATCAAAAATCTATTAAGTGTCTATATTACAAATTAAACACGTTTATGAATAAAATATATTTATAAGCTTTTAGATCTGATTAGATTAGTCCTGATTAAAAGTGTATTTCAAAAATCTATCAATATATATAATAAGAAGGTAAGTGATTTTAAAATTTATTATGACAACAGATCGGTGATATAATAACTTGAACGTTACGTGATTTTCGATTCCACGTCCAAAACAATTAAAACGTTATCAGACTCAGATTTATAAATAATATTTTACTTTTTATGATTTTTTTTTTTTACGAAATAGAAAAAAAGCATAAGTAAACCAGCGGAGATTGTTTCAGTTTAAATAATAACCTACCGAAATTAAAATTCAGATTTGAATGTGTAAGTAGTTCAAAATTTAGAACAAAAGAATATGAATAGAATTAATTTTGAGAATGATTGACCACTTCAAGATAGGGTTTTATTCTAGATGATTGTCTACTAGGTCGAATACAATACAATAATGCATTTTTTTAAACACAATACAATAAGAGTTAATGTATAAAGGTTATTTATTATATTCACATGTAAATTTGTCATCCTCCTTTAATCAGCGGACTAAACCTGTGGACTGGAGTATTAAATAACATTTTCAAAATCATACACATTCATTATCATGGATTTTAGTAAAAAATAAATTATCATTTATTTATGCTTTTAATTTAGTCGATTTCATTGTTACGTACGAACATATTTTAAATAAAAAAAGTAGTAGGTTTTTGGCACTTTCTAAGTTTTCCATACCTTTATTAAATGTTAGTTAATCTGCATGTATTAACCTAACTTTACATATCCATAGAATGCGTAAAACCATTCATAGTTTAGCCTCGTATCCATCCACACCAACTAATCTCACCAAACATGATAAAACAAAATATAATTAAACCTAATATTTTTCTTAACATCAGATGAAATAACCCATTGGTCTATTCTACGCCTTACCAATTTAAATATCATAATATATAATAATATATTTCAATTTAAACTTTATAATTTATTATAATCTTTTAATGTGTTACATAATATTTTATTTTTTATTTTTGTGTATTTAAACTTAAATTTTTGTAGGTTATTATTACATTTTGTTAAGTTGTTTCTTCTTCAATTTATTAATCTACTACAATAATTACTCTTTGAGGAAGTGTTGGATATCACAAACATTAAAAGCTTCACTACAACATAACATAAAGTGTCTTATTATTACATTAATTAATTGTGTAAAGTTATCTAAAAGTTTTAAACAATTATTATATATTATAGATTATGTGACTGTTAATTACATTATGAGATTCTTATCTTATCTATATATTTTTCTATAAATGTAATCTTATACTTTTATAATTCTATAATTTTATAAATGCATGTTAAAAAATTATAAAAAATATATGGTGAAAGCTAGATCAGATAACGAGTAAGATATCAGTTAAATCATCATATAATAGTCACCGATTAATAAAAATCTAACGATAAATATTTAATTAAAGAGTTTTAAACTTTTAACAGGTCAATAAAGAAAAAAATTAAACTTAAAACTTAATTAAGCTTATATAATATATGTTTCTATAATTTTCTTCATATTATTTTAACTTGATTTTTTATTATTGTATTTTTTTAAATATTTGCTATAACTTAAAATTAGTAGCCTAAACATTTTTTTTTCACTTGCTTTTATTTTCATTTGAAAATTTTCAATATTTTTTTTACTGACATAATATATTGTAGCGTCGTATATGTTGTAATGTCAATTTATTCGTTCTATTTATTGTGCGCTAATTGTTAATAATATGATATTAGTTATAATATAATATTCTCGTTCGTATGTTTCTTACTTGGTAACATATCACGTTTCTTTTTTCTATTAAATTAATTTTTTAACTTTTAACACATAAAATTCAGTACAAAGTCTTTTTGAGTAAATGTCAATAGTTTGGATCGTGTTAGTCCAAAATTTAAATATTGTCCGCAGTACATTCTAATGAGATAGAACATCCATACTAAAGTTAGTTTAACATTTGATAAATTAATAAATAACAATTAATATAGATAGTATACTTTTTTATTTTAAATTTTTATTTATAAATTTCATAATCGACTTTTGATTTTAAGAATGACCTAATTGCAATATAATTACGAGTACTTATACTTTATTCTTAAACGGATTAATTTTTGGGTTAATCTATTTTGCTAAGGTCCATCCCAGTTCAATTTAAGGCTTAATTAACGACTTGTTTAGTAATCGTCTAGGCTTGATGATTAATTATTTGAGTTGATACATGACCGGATTAACCTATTTGATAATTGATGTGTGTCTTGCTCGTTGAGCTTGTGCTTGTCTATCTATGCTGGTTGTGTCTTGCTCGTTGAGCTTGTGCTTGTCTATCTATGCTGGTTTCTGGCAGATGCCTAGGTTGGTCATTGCCCAATAGGCGACTTGTGCTTCAGGCTGTGGGATATTCACCCAGGTTGATATATGTGGTTGGGTGTTCGACTAAACTCACTTATTTACCCTTCCAAATTACGAGTTAATTTATTCGGGTTGGTTTGTGTCTAGTGACTAGTTGAACTTGTTGATTGACCATCTAAATTGTAGTTAATTGTTTGAGCTATATAGCTGGTCGAACAGATATACAATATAATTAAGATGATTACAATAATATATATATATATATATATATATATATATATAATTAAATGGTTGTAAATTAACTTTTATGTAATACGGTAATCGATTAATCGTTTCTTTTATAGTTACACCAATTGAACTAACTATTTTTTTGGTTGAGCTTGAAATAGTATATTTTATACTTGTCTTTATAAATACAGTAATTTAATTCAGGCATGATCTCCTCCTAGTCGGAACTTTCATATTGATTAAATATAAGTTTATATAAGTTTTGGTTGTACCTTCAAATTTGAGTTTATTAAAATTACTATCTCGTTTATTTTTCTGTGTTTTAGATACCAACATTTAATAAATATATTATTTTGGTCTTGACAAAAAAATATATATATTACTTTTAGATAGGCTATGTTAAAATGCAATCGTCACCTTATACTACATTTGCTTGCGTCTCAGCATTTGATACCTTCAAAATTAATATGTCAACATAGTTAATATATATCATGATCATATTTAGTAAATTTTAAATACCAAAAATAATAATTTTCTTTTGGAGATAATAAGTTCAATAAAGGTTGATTTTGAAGTCGCCAAAAATATTTATTTATCCCTTAAAAGTACTAATAAATATATATGTGATTCAAATTTATAACAAATGAAATGAAGAAATGGCTTATGTCTTTTCACAATTTTATAATACAGACATTTAATTGATAATTTAAAAATCTCTCCCTCTCCCTTTTTGTGTCATACGTGTGAGATAATTTATTTTTAACTCACTAATCAGCCACATTTTTTTAATTTATAATTTGTGGGTGTTTTCGTTAGCTGTAAGTTCTAAAATATGTATGAGTAAGCATTTTGCATGTTTCAAAACAAAGTTTGTCAAACATACAGGAAAAATTTTACATTTGAATGCATTGAGTTACATAAATTTTAATTGCTTTCAAAACATGTCAACATTTGTTAACTAAAATTAGCAGTTAACCTTAAGAGCTACAAACAATACAGTAAAAATAAAAAGTTATAAGACAATTTTCGGTAACAATAATAATAAACACATAATCTGTAAAACAACGTTACAATAAGTCGTAACAAAGGAATTTGCTGATCCCTATCTGCCAATTTCTTTTACAAAGTCCTTTATCATATACATTTTGAGTGTTTTAAAACAAGTATACCAATAGTTTTATTACCAAAAAAATAATTGAATGTGTGAACAAAATTTATAAATGCATGCTCACATACACATGTTCTGTTTTTATAATGAATCTATGGTGACAAACCACACCTTATCCAAAAGTTTTATATTTCTACCCAAACCTTTTTTTTAGTCCATTATTTGTTCTGTAATAGTATGATTAGGATATGACATCGCTTGCTTTCAAAATTTTGATGATTTCTAGCTATAAAAACATGATGAACAAGAAAATATTTAGCTCTGTATCTTCATGAAATTAAATTCAAATAAAAACAATAAGGACAAATGAAAGGGCAATCCAATCTAACTTCCTCAAAAGATATGTTGCAATGAATTTCTTTAACTAATGGAACAACAACCTAAATTACTCTGTCAAAACATGTCTGTTTTGAAAGATGAAAATCGCTCTGTGAAAACTTAAAAAGGTGACAGTAAAATTGGATTTGAATGCAAGGAAAGATGACCTGAAATGATTTTTATTGCGTGGTGTTTGTTATCTTAATCATCCTTCTCCTCCTCCTCTTCGACAAGCTTCTGTCCAAATCCTTTGGGTCCAGCTCTGGCTCTTCCCACAACCTTCTTTTTCTTCTTCTTCCCCTTTTTACCTGCTTCTTCCTTCTCAAACTTCTCTTTCTCTCTCTTCTGCAGGAAATCCACTACTGCTAAATAAATCACCTACAATGCAACACAAACAAAATACAAGCTTTCAGAACATAACTACCTCATTTCAAACAAATTAAGATCTTTTTTTTTTCTTTACGGAATTTTACTTACCCCAATAGTGATAGCGGATAAGCCAACGAAAGCCAGAAAGAAAAGGGCTGAGACGACTGTGGCCACCCCTTTATCGGTGGTTGGGTACAACTGCTCCACAACATCCGCCGCTGTTTCCGCCGTAGAGATAACATCTTCGGCGGCGGCAGGAGGAGGAAGAAGAATAATGGGTCGGAGTGGGTTGTGAAAAAGGATGGATTTTTTGAATGGGGTTGTGATGGGGGAGTTAGATGAGAGAGTTGGAAGAGTGGTTGTTCTGAGAGAGTGGTATGAGTGCAGAGAAGAAGAAGAAGAAGAAGAAGAAGAAAGGAAGGTTGCAATGTGTGGGGAAGATGAGATTAAGGAAGATGCAAATCCTGTGGCCATTGCTGCAATCCTCACCACAGTCTCAGCCAATCACTTTTCTTTATCATACGTGGCACCACTTTCTGATTATTGGTGGAAGCACTTCTCCGACGGGATTTTGATGTTCTAATACCAATATGTTTTCTGTGAGATAACATTTGTTTGATAGGGCCCATTAACTGATGGTTTAATTTTTTGTTGTTGTTTTTATTTCTAGGCTTTTAATTCCTGCACCTCCAACATTTCTTCGCACACCCCTTCAAGTTGTTAAAATATTATTTTGTACTTTAAAAAAGTGACTCTTTGATTATATTTTTTAGAAAGCTTCAGAAACAAGTTTTCTGGATTAAAATTTTCAAAATATAATTTCTAAAATATTTTTTTTGGAATGGGATTTTTGAAAAAAAACTTCCCAGAACTCATATAATACCTTTAATTTTTTGAAATATCCCTACATGAAAAAAAGATCTAAAAAAATTTTTGATCAAGAAATAACTTTTAGAAATTTTTTTTTTTTTTGCATTATTTTCTTCTTGTGCAGTATTCTTCCATTCTTTTTCTTTTTCTACAGCAGCGGTAATGATGGTAGTGGCAAATGAAGTATGTTTGAGTCATTTTCTCTTATTGTTGGGGTGCAGTTAGTAATTGTGGGATTGCAAGAAGCAATAGCCTTATATCTATAGCCTGTTATACTCAAATATAGGCTCAAAGCTTGAAAGCCCATTTGCAAATGCAACAGACGTGTAAAACTTTTTTGTATATTATTCACATAATAAAATATATTATAATTTTGTTTAGTAAGTTTGATATCTATTCAAGAATCAACCTTTGTGTATAATGTAAAAAATAACATTCCCTAGAATATTAAATGCCAGGGTAAAGTTACCAGGAAATATTTCAAATTGCAATTTATACGGGGTGATAATATACTCTTACTTTTTTTTCACGTTGAATTTTTTTTATATTTTTTCCAATATAATTATGTATTTTATTCATTATATGACATGGCTTGTATATTTTTTTTATATCAAATTAATATAATCTTTGATTATTTGCCTACTTAGATATATTTAATTATTTTTATTAGCCCTTACATTTCTTCAATCAATTTTAAATAGAATGTGATATTTTTGTTGTCGGGTGTTAAAGGAGTTAAAAGAAGTTTGGGTCATTGAGTGATAAGAGAGTGATGTTGGTGTCCGAGAAGGTTGATGGAGAATCCTATGGCTGAATCGAAGAGATGAGAGAACAAAGCTTTGGAGATAAGATGCATGGAATTACAACAACTCTCCCTCTCGCTGCAAACACCTTCCTTTATTGTGCCAGCAACACTCGCTTTTCTCTCAGATCTTTTCAACCAAATTGTTGCATAACCACTTCTAAAATCAGCTATGCAAGTCCTTTTCACCGTTCACAGTGGAAGCAACAGAGAAAAGAAAGATGGGGCAATAGAACGATGGTGGTGAGAGCAAGGCGTGGCGAGTCGCCGTACGAAGTTTTGGGTGTGTCTCCATCCGCAACCGTCGACGAAATCAAAAGGGCGTATCGGAAACTTGCTCTTAAGTATCATCCTGATGTCAATAAAGAGGTGATTACTTTGTTTGACGCTAATCAGATTTGAAAATATCAAGGAGATTTGACAATGGTTGGTTTGTTATTCTGTTTGAGTTAAGTTATCGAAAGTTAAGTGGAAAAGTAAATATTTTCTCCATATTGTCTGTGATAAAGAAACATACACATTGCTTATAATTTGGGGAAACTTTTGACAATTAGGGGTTTTTACGTTCATCAGCTGTTAATCGATTTGAATTTTCTCTAATGTTTAGTTTCCGGGGTGGGGATACTCTTTCGTAGCTGAATACTTCATTTCGGAACTCGCTTTTGTTTGGCAATCTCAATTTTATAAACATGGCTACTGTGTTGATTATATATGGCTTATTGTTCTTCTGTGAAGAGAAGATTCACATAATCCGTTTGGCTGTTACCTGGTTTAAGTAATTTGTGTCCATGCACTATTGCCATCAGAAATTGCATGTTTTCTCAGAATTTTTGTAAACGGACATTTAGTGGTCTAATACCTGATTGTTGACTATCCTTCTCTGGAAAGAACATTGATCCCCTTTACATATATATTAGTTATCAAAAGCTGAAAAATACGTGGATCTATGATGATTAATGAACGAAATGTCACATACCAGATAGTGACAAAACAATTTTTGATCCTCATTTATTGCAATTGTAATTGGTTCACTGCCTTCCAGTCTTGAATTTTTTCGTGTTCTTTTAGTTGTTTTACTTTAAGATCCAGGCAAAAGTTATGATAGTGGCGATATCCCTGCTTTCAAAAGGAAAAATATAACTAGAAAAGAAAATGTAACCATGATCAGAAGGACTAAGTCATGGTAAAAGTTTTTTGAATGCACTGTGCTGAAAGCTCTTCAATGATGCAACTGTTCTATTTTGGATTGTATGTTAGTAACCACTCGCATTGATTTGTGTATTAGTAATTAGTCCCCGGAATATTGGAGTCTTTAGTGCTTACTTATGTATGTTAAAGTTTCCTTTCACAGGAAAAGGCACAGGAGAAATTCATGAGGATAAAACATGCATACAATACATTGCTAAATTCCAGTTCCCGCAAAAGATATGATTCTGGAAGTCAAGGTTACGATTTTTCTCAAGGAAGCCGAAGTAGGAATGCACAACCTGAAGAAGAATTTTATGGACTAGGTAAAGATTGATAATCACATGAATCTTGTTTGAATATCTCTATACGAGACTTTACTTTTGAATACATTCTTCATGTTTATTATTGCTGTTGCACATATGCAACCTTTCTCCTTTTTATTGAAATAGCAGAAAGGAGACAATCTCAAGTTGAATGATACGGCTTTGACAGCTCGAAGTTCCAAACTGAAATATATTACTGATAGAATGATACATTAGTTTAAAATCATATTTATATTATTAATTAGATTGATTAGTGATCACTAGCACCACCTGAGCAAGACCTAACCATAGGACTAAGTGCCTAAACAAATCCAAAAAGTTGTAAGATAATCCAAAAATTCTTAGGTATTAAATCGAATATTAAGACTTTTAAACATATGTAGTACTTATATTTTTTCATGTGCTTCTTGTCCTATCCTTTTATCAAGCTAGTTACTTTTTGGTTTAATCTTATAGTCGTACATATTAATGATGCAGGTAATTTATTGAGGGATGTTCAAATAACAATAGGTAGATATATACTCTCTGGTAGACATCATGGATCATGTTGGCCCTAAGTTTAGCCTGTATTCATTAAAAATTCTCCTGGGCATTGGTTGCCCCATAGAAATCTACCAACAAGGGTAAAGGGATGTGTGTCTCTAGTATATTGCAACATAATTTTGTAATTCCCTTCTCTTTAGTGTTTGAGACCTGTCTGATTTTGTTTTTTGCAGAGGAATTCTTTAAGGATCTTCAAGAAGAATTCAGGAACTGGGAAGCAAACGCTGCTTCAGAAGGAAAGCCAAAGAGCCTATGGGAGGAATTGGCGGTGAGACTTCCTGTTTAAATCTTCATCTGTTTATTTTTTTAAATTATAATGTACGTACATGAGCCTTGGGAACAGGGTCTTAATGGGGGTCATAGTATTTTAAATTTTTCCTTTCAGGAAATAGGAGAAGAATTTGTGGAGTTCCTTGAGAAAGAACTCAATATTACAGATCAGAATGGTGATTACGAGACACCTCAAGGAGAAAATGCATCCAACTTTTCTGGGAGAGAGACACCAAACAGTAGCAGTAATCCAGGTGAAGCTAGCAAGGGAAGCGTTGAGGATAACCTTGAGGAAATAGAAGCCACTCTGGCTCAGCTGAAAAAGGAATTAGGCTTATAGCATAGAAGGATTTGGTTGAAGAAGAAAAGCCAAAAATTCATTTTTTCTCATTCTTGGCACAAGACCAACACCAGATTAACACCAGGGCTTCCACTGTTTTAATGTTTTTCTTGCTGAGCATTCGGTTGTCCAGCAGTGTTTATTTATCTCTGTAGTTTCATTTAGTTGGGTGGGTAGAGGAATAACACTAAAAGCTCAATCATGGATGATTTGGGTTTGTAAAGGGAGTATTCAATTCATTTGGTTTGTAAACTAAAATATTTATACGGACCTTGAACATGCAACATTGACAACCTATTTGAATTTTTAAAAACAAACATTTACAAAAGGAGAGAAAAATGAAGACTTGGAAAATTCTGGATTTTCACGAGCTCCAATTCTTTTTCTACATATATAGCAAGTAGTGTGATACTAATGATTTGTATATAATTATAAACCGTGATCTTACAGGTTTCAACTTAATAAACAACCGATTTATCCTACTGATATATTTTCATGTTGATGTGAAAAAAACAGCACATTAGAATCTTGGGTTGAATGTACAGACATTTCAGATAAGACGACAGTTAAAATTTCATCTTAAGTAGTTCAGGCATTTGTGGGAAAGATCTGTGAACAGCCCAATAAAGAAGATTGGTAATTACCACTAAAAATAGAGAAAAAATAATATATATAGAAAATTATCAAGAATGGTTTTTAGCATAAGGTTTTTATATCAAATCAATGACTCCATCGAGAGAATGGACTCGACTTGTTCATGTACAGAACATAATTATAAAATAATGAAACTACTTCTACATCTATCCTGCTTCAACTACAATTTAAATATAATACCATAAAGAAGATCATCATTTTTTTAATAAACTGGGAGTACAAGTTAAACCACAAGAAAAATCCTCCAAGAACTAAATTAAAAAAAAAAAAAAACAACCTTTTAACCTCAAATAACAGACAATCATATTTAACAGAGAAAAAATTTATTTAAGAGAATATTAGGATCCATTTTTTTCTCACGGACTGTGCATTGATGACTAGCCGCAAAAAGAAAATCCAATTCATGACCATGGTAATAATTACGCAGAACCCTCTACCAATTTTATGAGAAACAAACAAAAACAGCGAGTCTACTGGTCTGGTACACGTAACTTCTGAGTATTCTATAACCTCCAAACCCCACTAACCAAAAGAAGAAAGCCGACTGTGCAATATACTAATGTCACTAATTTGCACCT